ACACGTGCCGCGTGGAGTTACAAACTTACAAACAAACAACAAACAAACATACACGTGAAACTAATATAAGCGTGTTAAAAATAATAGGGTTACCATATGAAAACTGAAAATTGATACCGATTTAAAGCATAATAAGGGATGATCATAAAAATGTAATTTTACTCATTGAGCAGCCTAATATATAAACATAATATTTAATAAAACAAAAAAAAAAATAACTTATATTTTCAGGGAAAATTTGTGAGTCATAGTTAATCAATCACCTGTATTTTCATTATATTTGCATTATTATTTACATGTAAATCTCATAGAGTAACTATGGTAAAAATTAACACGGTAAAATTAAAATTTAAGTCCCATCAATAATAACAATGTTTTTATAAATTCAGATAAAAACTGCTAAATGGTATCCCCTTGTGTCGATAATAAAGTATAAAATAACTGGTTTTGATAGTTCTCGAGGGAGTAGTTGATAGGTGAAGGTGATCGGTTACCGCCACTCAACAGGAATTCGTCACGTTAGAAGTGCCACTAAGGACCTTATTTATCAATTTACCTTATTTATAACAAANCGTCACGTTAGAAGTGCCACTAAGGACCTTATTTATCAATTTACCTTATTTATAACAAAAATCGACACAAGTCGATAGAAAAAATGTATTTTTTTTTTTTTGTAAAAACTGTTTTATGCGGGACACCTTTTATCAAGTTGTGCTGTCACCAAAATCTTCGATTTTTCACAGATAATTTTCTCTTTTATAATTTGGTAATAAATTAGGGATACTAGCATCAATACAGATCAAATAAAGTTGTCCCGCACAATTGCTTTATTCTCTGTATGGCGTCATCTTAAATTAAAGTTTGGATAAATGTTGTCATAGCGTTTTTTTTGCCAGATTTAAATTTTTCTTTTAGTGTGTATATACTTTTTCAATGAGTTTTTTAAGGTATTTCAGATTTTTTTTAAACCTAAATATTATTATTATGTATATGTAGTTTGAATAAATAATATAATTGATATTACGTATTTTAAATAAATCGTTTGATGAATTATGATAAATTAAAATGATCCGATATTTGACATACTTATATGAAATTAACATTAAGCTCATTAAAAATTTTAGGGCGGGCAATTTTAATTTTAGATATGTTAGGAATAGGTCGGTTAATAGCCGTATTCTAAGTTCATAAATTAAGAGCTTTTAATGCAATAATATAATAACAAAAATTGTAATGATTTTATTTAATAAAATTATTTCTTAAATATTGCAATAGTTTAAAAAATTGTCAAAAAAATGATCTTGGACTAGCTTTAAAAAATTTAAATAAGACTAAATATTATAAAACAAATTGAAATTTTTATCCTCCATTTATAAATTGATAAATAAAAAGTTCATTAAGTAATAAAATAAATTACTAACTTGAATAAAGATAAAACAATTATTTATAGCAAAAATTTAAATCAATGTAATACAGGCGACCAAACGTTTATTTATATTATAATTTAGAATTAAAGTTCAAAGATAATAATAATAGTAAAAATAATTACCATGGAGTATCAAATTTGTAGATTTTTTTGTGAGAATTGGAATTGCTTTTTGACTATAATTCAATTAATATAAATTACAATATATATTTGATTTAAAACAAAATGTAAAAAGAAAATTTCAAACTTCCATTAAACTTAACAACAATGTCTGCTAAAAAAGAACAAAACAGAAAGAATACCTTATTATAGTAAAAATAGTAGTTTAATAATGTGTAACACAATTCACTGAACTTATGATATAAGAAACAATATACATTTTATAAATTCAATTTATGTACAATACTGAAGGGCATTAATAACAAATAGAAAAACAACTCAACCGGACGGTCTATTAATAGCAATTATTTTAGTATATCTGAACAAAAAATTCAAACAACTGATTTCAGCAGACGGAACAGATTTTAAAAATGGCCACAAATTCAAATAAAATATATAACAATAATCAAACTGGCAACGTGGTATTGGTAAACATTATGCACTATTTTCTCGCTCTGTCCCTTTTAATTATACAGACTTATAGAAGCAACGTTGCCAGTTTACTTATTTCTAACCCATGGGACATGAACCAACGCAACTAAGAAGTATTATAACTATTAAGGAATGTAGGATCTTTTTTCGTATCTTACCATTTGGCCACCGAGTCACGTTCTTTCAAGCAATACTTTCACTGCACAATACATTTATGACACTTTAAAATTGTTCAGCCGATTATTTTAATTTGTTGATCTTACTACCTAACTTATATGAATTCAGTTTAAATTTTCTCGATTATCTCGATTTGAAAATAATTAATAAATTTGTCTTCAATTTTTTGTGTAGTTTTTCAATTTATTGAATATTTATACTGTACTATACATTTATGACCTATTTATTTTGTTTATCAGTTTATTTGAATTTGTTGATCGTATTTTTGCCTTGATTAATTTGGGTATTCAATTTCTCAAATATCTGTCTTTCGAATTAATTAAATAATCAATTAAATTGTCGCCAGTTTGATATGTAGTTGTCTCTAATATATTAACAACTATTTTTATCATTAGACGTTTGTCGGACATGTATTTTCATTTTCATTCATATTATAATACAAATAATTTCTAATGTACTAGTCCAATAGTTATTATCGACTAGATTTTTTAAATTAGATCATTTTCTATTTTATAAGTAAGTTATAAATGTATGTTGCTATTAAAAAAATAAAGTTGGTACCTTTATAAGAGATAAACAATAGACATAAAATGTATTTAACCACTTATAATTTGAGAGGCAATAGTAA